GAGGAGGAGGAGGAGGAGGAGGCTCGTCCAAACGGCACATGCTTCCTGTTTTGCGGAGGGCTTATGCGCAGCGAAGCGTTTGGGAGTCGCGCCTGGGGCTCGCGGGCAGAACTCTCGTCCTGCCTCGGGGGGACCAGGGATACGTCCAGAAGGGATCAAGCGGATCACCCGCGCAGGGACGCGAGAGGAACGGGGAGAGCCCGCGTAACGCACACTTCGTGCGAGGCGATCGCCGACGGCTGCTGCCCTGGGCCGCCGTCGTCGTCGTCGTCGTCGTCGTCGTTTTCTTTCGTGGGCGAACAATTGCCCATCGGGTGCGCTGGGCCGCCGCGGTGGGCGGAGGGGAACGGGCGGGAGGGGGAGCGGATGCTGAAGACGCGGAAGGGGGGAGGCGGATGAGAGGGGGATGCGGAGGAGGAGGAGGGGCACGGCAAGGGTTAAGTCGGGCATGTCCCATTACAGGAGGGATATTCAAACATAGTAGAACAAGAGTCGTCGACTATTTTGTGACTCTTTTTGGGCATTGTTTTCTCAACTTTTCATTTTTCTTCCACACTCTGCCCGCAGGAGGACATGCCCGACCTAAGGCAAGGGGGAACCTGACGGGGGGGCGTGGTCAGAGGGGGAAGCGGTACCCATACCGCTACCTTTCGCCCGTTTTGAGCCCTTCTGGGAGGCCCTCGTCGCTACGGCTTGATACGCCTCGAAATCCTGGTCAGAACGCACCGTGGGAGAGGTCCAGGGAGTAATTAGCGGTGTCGGCACCGTTTGGCTTCCCCGGGGGGTGGGGCGAGTGGGGGCAGGAGAGGGAGGAGATGGAGAGGAGGCGAGGAGGGGGAAACGGAAGAGGGGGACGGGAGGGAGATGGGGAAAGGCGGCGATGGCGGCTGTTAGCAGGCGACCGCCAATCAGCGCCAGCCGCGAGATTTCAAGCTGGCCTTGCCCCCCCCCCTCTGTCCTTGGTCAGGCGCCTCTCCTCACTCCCCCTACCCTCTCCCTCTCCCTTTTTTGTTCTCTCTCTCTCTCTGTTTCTCACTCTGCCTATCTCTCTCCGTGCTCTCTGCCCTCTTTTTTATTTCTCTCTCTCTCTCTCTCTATACGTATATGTGGTCAGATCCCCCCTCTCCCTAGCCCCATCGAGGCGTTTTTTATATTGCTTTCCACTTTGTTTGTTTTGTTGGATCGTTATAGATATAACGACCAGCACGTCCTCTCTCTGTCTCTCTCCCTCTCTTCCTCTCTCTCTGTCACGCCCTCTCTTCTTCTCTCTCCTCGTCCTCATCATCCTCTCTTTCCCCCCTCTCCCCCTCAAAGCTTGGCCAGGATGGTCGGCGCAGGAGCATGGCCACCAAATACTACTATCACATGTGTTTTGCTATCTTTGGCCAGGGAGACTGCCAAACGCTGCGTTTACAGCTTGTGCTGTTCTTGGTTTCCAGGATCTTTGCAAACACTGGCCAGGAACATCTGCCCATCCCTCGAAAAATGAGCGCAATGGGAGGGTATGGGTGAGAGGGGTAGGACTTCAGATATGGCGCGAGCGCGCCTAGCTTGTCCCCATCCCCCTCTCCCCTCCCCCTCCCCCCCGCCGCACCTCCCTGTTGCTCCTTCATTTCGCCCCCCCTCTCCCCACCCCCCTCCCCTCTACCCCTCCGTCTCTCCTCCTCCCGCCCCCCTCCCCTCCGTCTGCCTCCTCCTCCTTACTCTGCCCGCGCTCCCCCTCGCCCACCCTCCGCCTGCCCGTCTCTCCCCTCCCCCATTGGGCTCAAGCCTTCACGGGCCCAAGTGGCTGTCCATCGCGGATGGCACGGGGTGCCAGCAGCACGCTGGATGCTCACGTAATCCCCTGGGCCTGGCGCCTGGGCAGGGGAGGCGCGAAGCGTCCGCGCAAGGGGGAATCAACAAGTCAGCGCTCAGGCCGTCCTTGCTTTCTCTTCCTTACCCCCCCTGTGTTCGAGCGGCTTCGTCCGAGACCACGAGTGCGCGGGCCAAGTGGCCAGCTCCTATTTTCTCCCCCTCCGAGGCCTTCCTGTACTGACGATCGCCATGCTCAGCGGCGCCCTGGCGCCACACCAGCAGCACTCCAGACGGTGCCCGCGCGCGGGAGTGCCTTGCCTTGTTTTGTGTCTGCTCGAGCGGGGGGGGGGGGGGGGGGGGGGGCGGGCGGGCGAGGGCCGGGGGCGGGGCGCTGGCTCGCGGGCGGGCGCGATGGAGGAGGCGGGGTCGTCCTGCGCCTCGTCCTCGAGGGCGGCCGCGGGGACTGCGCCGAGGAAGGCGGGGCGACGGCGGGCTGCAGGGGGGAGACGCCCGCAGAGGGCACTTGTGCACCACATCAGGGAACCGATGTCCCCCTCCTCCTCGTCCGCCTCCTCCTCCTCCTGCTTCTCCTCCTCCTCCTCCTCCTCCCCCTCCTCCTCGAGAACGGGGGATTGTGGAGTCGCAGGGGTTCAAAAGCGCGCGCGCGAGGGTTTCGCGCTGAGTTCGCGACTGTTTCTGTGCAAACTCTGCTCTGTGTCGCCCTCCTCCTTCTCCTCCTCCTCCTCCGCCTCCTCCTCCTCCTCCTCCTCCTCCTCCTCCTCCTCCTCCCTCTCCCCCTCCTGCTACCTCTCTGCCCTTTTTTTTTTTTCCCCCTGGCCCCCCCCTTTTTTTTTGTTTTTTTTTTTTTTTTTCTTGGGGGGGGGGGGGGGGCAGACTTGCTCGTGTCGTCGTCTCCTCCTCCTCCTCCTCCGCTCTCCTCCCTCCTTCTCCTCCTCCTCCTCCCTCTCCCCCTCCTGCTACCTCTATGTTTTTTTTTTTTTTTTTTTTTTTTTTTTGTTTTTTTTTTGTCTCCTGGCGCTCCCCCCCCAGAACAAAACACAATGTTTTTTTTTTTTCTTCTGGGGGGGGGGGGGGCAGGAGAGAGAAAAAAGGAATGCGACGTGGCAACATCTGCCCTCCCCCTAGAAGGATTCCTACTGGACGCCCCCATAAGAAGGATTCACAGTGAAATCCTCGACAGAAGGGTTCCTATCGAAACCCTCCACTGAATGATTCCTACCGAAATCATCCACATGTGGATTCCTACTGAAACCCTCCACAGCGGTAGTATCATGGTAATGGTAATGCTAATGGTAATGGGAATGGGAGTGGAAATGGTACTGGCAATGGTAATGGTAGTGACGAATGGCAATGGCAATGGCGATTGTGATGGTAATGGTAATGGCAATGACAGGGGTCATGTAATGGTACTGGTACAGGTAATGGTAACGGTAATGGTAATGGTGAGGGGTAGCGATTGGCAATGGCAATGACAATGGCAACGATAATGGTAATGACAATGGCAATGGGATTGGCAATGGCAATGACAATGATAATGGCCATGGCAATGGCAACGGCAATGATAAGTGTAATGATAATGGCAATGGTAATGGGAATGGGAACGGGAATGAGAATGTGAATGGGAATAGGAACGGTAACGGGAATGGAAATGGTAGTGGTAGTGGTAACGGAAATGGGAATGATAAGGGTAAGGGTAAAGGTAAAGGTAGAGGTAAAGGTAATGGTACTGGTAATGGAAATGATAGTGATAATGGTAATGGTAATGGCAATGGTAATGGTCATGAGAATGGGAATGGCAATGGAAATGGTACTGGCAATGGTTATGGTAGTGGCTAATGGCAATGGCAATGGCAATGCGAATGGTAATGGTAATGACAGAGGTAATGGTAATGGTACTGGTAATGGTAACGGTAATGATAGTGGTAACGGGGTGGCGACTGGCAATGGCAATGACAATGACAATGGCAACGGTAATGGTAATGGCAATGGCAATGACAATGGGAATGGCAATGGCAATGGTAATGGCCATGGCAATGGCAATGGCAATGGCAATGGTAATGGTAATGGCAATGGTAATGTGAATGGGAATGGGAACGGGAATGGGAATGTGAATGGGAATGGGAACGGGCATGGAAATGGCAGTGGTAGTGGTAGCGGAAATGGGAATGGTAAGGGTAAGGGTGAATGTAACGGTAGAGGTAAAGGTAATGATAATGGTAATGGCAATGGCAGTTGTAACGGTAATGGTAATGGTATTGGGAATGGGAATGTGAATGTGAATCGGAATGGTAATGGTACTGGCAATGGTAATGGTAGTGGCGAAGGGCAATGGCAATGGCAATGGTAATGGTAATGGTAGTGGCGAATGGCAATGGTAATGGTAGTGGCGAATGGCAATGGCAATGGCAATGGTAATGGTAATGGCAATGACAGTGGTAATGATAATGGTACTGGGAATGGTAATGGTGACGATAACGGTAATGGTAATGGTTATGGCAATGGTAACGGGGTAGCGACTGGCAATGGCAATGGCAACGGCGATGGCAATGGTAATGGTAATGGGACTGGCAATGGCAATGGCAATGGGAATGGTAACGGCAATGGCAATGGCAATAGCAATGGCCATGGCAATGGTAATGGTCATGGTCATGGTCATGGTAATGGTAATGATAATGGTAATGGTAATGATAATGGGAATCGTAGTGGTAATTGGAACGGGAACGGGAATGGAAATGGTAGTGGTAGTGGGAAAGATAATGGCAATGGTAATGGAAATGGTACTGGTAACGGTAATGGTAATGGCAATGGTGATGGGAATGGGAATTGTAGTGGTGATGGCAGCGGTAATGGTAATGGTAATGGCAATTGTGTTGGTAATGTTAATGATAATGGCAATGGTAATGGTAGTGGCGAATGGTAATGGTAATGGGAATGGTAATGGTAATGGTAACGGTAATGGTAACGGGGTGGCGACTGGCAATGGCAATACCATGGCAATGGCAACGGCATTGGTAATGGCAATGGCAATGATAATGGCAATTGTAATGGCAATGGTAATGGCACTGGCAATTGTAATGGCAATGGTAATGGTAATGGTAAAGGTAAAGGTAAAGATAAAGGTCAAGGTAATGGTAATGGTAACGGTAATGTGAATGGGAATGGGAAAGGGGATGGGAATGGTAATGGTAATGGTATTGGGAATGTGAATGGAATGGGAATGGGAGTGGGAGAGATTGAGAGAGAGAGAGAGAAAACGAGAAAGGACACATCAGCATAATGATGAGGAACAACGTGAAATATCGTAAGTTTTCGTCTAAAACCCACAGCGACTCCACAATCCCCCGGCCTCTCCTCTTCCCCCTCCTCCTCCCCCTCCTCCCCCTCCTCCCCCTCCTCCTCCTCCTCCTCCTCCTCCTCCTCCTCTTCCTCCTCCTCCTCCTCCTCCCCCTCCTCCCCCTCTTCTCCCTCCTCCCCCTCCTCTCCCTCCTCCCCCTCCTCCTCCTCCTCCTCCTCCTCCTCCTCCTCCTTCTCCTTCTCCTTCTCCTCCCCCTCCGCCTCCTCCTCCTTCTCCTCCTACTCCCTCTCCTCCTCTTCCTTCTCCTCCTCCTCCTCCTCCTGCTCTCCCTCCTCCTACTCCCTCTCTTTCTCTTCCTCCATTCATTTTCCTTCTGAACAACACCTTCTTGTCGCACCCCGAGGCCGGTCGAAAGGGCAGGCGTGGCGTTTCGCTGAAGTCTTCTTCACCATGTGTGATCCTGAAGCTTAAAAGGTTGCAACAGTTAGTCAGATGGTGGCGGGTGGTTTTCAACATGTGGCTCTCGCCTTAGCGCCGCGCACGTTTGTTCAAATCTTTGCAAGAGTTTCGCGGGTCGCGGGTGGGCCACGATTTACAGCAGTTTCAAGTATTGCCATTGTTAACGCCGTAGAAATGGTGTTTGGCACGATGTAGGATTGTCAGGGCGCAACAGTTACATCGATTCGCGGCGTTGATGTCCCAGGGATGGTTTTCTGGCACGATCCAGGGTTCTCAAGACGCAACAGTCACGTCGATTAGTGGCACTGAAGTCCCAGTAATGGTCCTCTGGCACGGTTCAGGATTTTCAATCGCTTGTCTTCTAACGGGACGCTTCCTTCAGTGACATGAGGAGGGAAATTAGAGGGAGGGTTTACTGCAGCATCGTTGAGGAGTCTTGGGTTTACACTGGTTCTCCTCCTCCTCCTCCTCCGCCTCCTCCTCCTCCTCCTCCTCCTCCTCCCCCTCCCCCTCCTACTCCCTCCCCTACTCCTACTCCCTCTCATCCGCCTCCCCCTCCCCCTCCTCCTCTTCCTCCACCTCCTCCTCCTCCCCCTCCTGCTCCCTCTCTCTCTCTCTCTCCTCCGTGCCCTCTCCAAGAGGCACGCTCAAGCAATGCCCGCCAGCCAAAGCCCCCCGTGGACCGTATCGGGGCCCTCTTGGCCTGTGTTCGGGCTTGCATTCTGGTGATATCGGGGTCACCTAGGTCGTCAGGGTGGGAGCTACAACATCATTCGAACCACATAGAACACCTGTGAGTTTGGGTTGTGTAGACACTCCTGGCCTCGGCCAGGAGGGCGTCTGTACCATGTCAGGGCCCAGGATGGCCCTGGCGTGGCACGGTGGTGGTTTATACATACCTTTTGCGTAGGAATTGGGGGGATGGAGAGGGGGAGGGGGGCACTCCTGGGCAATGTGGGCTCGTCGCGCTGCTCCTAGTCACCGCGGAGGCTATCAGGGAGCGTGCGGGCGTCGGTAAACGCGTTCGACGCTCGCCGAGGGGCCGAGTGTGAGGGGAGGGAGGCAGGGTACGAGAGGAGGAGAAGGGGGACGAGAGGGATGACGATGATGATAGTGATATACTGCTGCTGCTGCTGATGCTGATGCTGATGCTGATGCTGCTGCTGCTGCTGATGATGATGATGATGATGATGATGATGATGATGATGATGATGAGGATGAGGATGAGGATGAGGATGAGGAGGATGAGGATGAGGATGAGGAGGATGAGGATGAGGATGAGGATGAGGAGGATGAGGATGATGGATGATGATGATGATGATGATGATGATGATGATGATGATGATGATGATGATGATGATGATGATGATGATGATGATGATGATGATGATGATGATGATGATGATGATGATGATGATGATGATGATGATGATGATGATGATGATGATGATGATGATGATGATGATGATGATGATGATGCTGATGATGATGATGATGATGATGATGATGATGCTGATGATGCTGATGATGATGATGATGATGATGATGATGATGATGATGATGATGATGATGATGATGATGATGATGATGATGATGATGATGATGATGATGATGATGATGATGATGATGATGATGACTATGATGATGCCGTTGTTGTCGCCGCCGCCACCCCCCTCCTTTTCCCAGTTCCCGGCTGGCGCCCCCTTCACGTTCTACTCGGCCTTGACCTTGACCCGACCTCCTCCGACTTGACCTTGACCTTCTCGCCTTGACCTCGACTCGGCCTCGGCGCTCTGCTCGGCGTCCCTCTCGCTCGGCCTTGGCTGCGGCCTCCTTTCCCCGCGTCGGCACGGCGAGGCCGGCTACCTGGGCCGCTGCAGGAGCTCGGGCGACGAAATCTGTACATGCCCACTGCTCCCTGGCCAGGCCCATCCTGAACCCAGGAGCTGTGCATACGCCCTCCTGGCCAAGCCAGGAGAGCGTGGCGTAAACACCGCCGCTGGGTGCAGGATGGGCCTGGCCAGGGAGCAGTGGACATGTACACCTTAGGCGATGCTTAAGAAAACCTAAGTTTTCGTCCAGAGTCTCGATTGTTCTTAACTTTTCAATGCAAATCCCAAGATTTTGATAGAAGATCTGGGTTTTATTCAATTTCTGAGAGCATGAATTTCTTAACCCATGATTTCTTAAACATTTCGCAGGGTGTACAGATGTCGCCGCCCTAGGAGCGTGGACGTCTTCGAGAAGCTGAACCGGCTCGGCGAGGGCACCTACGGGACGGTCTACAGGCCGCCGCCGGTCGGCGGACGCTGGCCGACGGGGGGCTCGGAGGGTATCCCGCGGCAGGCCACTCAGGAGGGGAAAAAACACACAGACACAATTAATCGTCGATCCCCCGGAAAATATGGGAAAATATGGGAAGTGGTGGGGAAGACAAAAACCCAGAAAATATGGGAAAATATGGGGAATCCTTTTATTTGTGTGTATTTATTTGTGTGTCCCAGTTTCCCTTAAGCCACGCGGGGCCGAGAGGTGCTGAAGAAGGGGCCGGATGGCACGAGGGGGAGGGTGTGGAAGCGAGGGAGGGCTGGGGAAGGGGGCCAAGACCTCCTGCCCTTCTTCGTTCCCCCGACCCTTGCCCTTTCGAAGTGGACAGCCGCTCCCCATCTCGGGTGACTGCCGATCATGACCAATAAAGTCGGCCCCCATTAAGAAGACCAGTGCACAGGGCGGAACAAGCCCGACATTATGCGCCTCCCGCCGTCAGTGATACAAGCTAATGCAACGTGCCCAGCTGTGGGCGTGCGTGCATGCATGCATGCATGCATGCATCTCTCTATACATCTATCTATATAGATAAATAGATGAGGGGATTATTATGGTATCATGTGCCCAATCGCTGATTGTTGAATAACCGTTGCGTGCGAGCTGTGGCACTCGCATTGTAAAGCAAACTCTCGAATTGAACTTTCTTCTTCACGTGGGTTCAGCGAGCAATCTCTTTTGGAACCAACGCGCCCAGCGCGGCGATAGCTTCGATGAACTCGCGCGTCGTTTTCCATGGCAGCTCTGCGTTCACGTCGTGGATCACATGTTGAGCTCGCGATTTCGCGAGCTCATGATCGAGTATTTGTGCTCGCGCGCGCTCATTTGTTGGCCGCCGATCCGAGGCGTTCGTCCCGTCGAACGGCGCCCCCCAGTAGTGCGCGGGTAGCGTGCAATCCACCTTCGTGGCCAGTGGTATCTGCAATCGTTTGTCTTTGTCTTTTTCCTCTGGCGCGTCTCCTCGTACGTGATGGGTATATATGAACGGGGTCGAGGCTCGAGACCGATGCGCTGGGAAAACATGAACCTCGCACGGCGCGGAATAGCGCGCTGCTTGGCTGGTCACTGGCGACGGGCGCCGTCTGCGATCTGCGCGCCGCCGACCAATGAGCTGCAATGGCTCCAGCTATTTCATCAGCCCCATCGTCCTACGCCAGGAAACACCGAGCGCCGCGGCCAACTGGCCCGCGAGAGTCTGGGCGCGGCGCTTGGCGCCCACGTCCGGCACGGGTGCAGCTTCGCGCATTGCTTGTGCAGACCGATAGTCTGCCTGGCCCTGGACCCTGCGCAAAATGCAGATAGTGGCTTCCATGGAGATGTGGAGGAATTCCTCATGCCGGTGGTATCTTCCATCAACGCCGCCCTGTGCCTCTCTACATGCGCGCTGTTGAACGCGTTTTCCATGAGCTTTGAACCAGTGATCAACTCCGTCGGTAACGTGCTGCTCAGCTCGGAGCCCTGCTCTACGACGCGAGCGCACGTCCGCCGCGTCGCCGGGCGATCGCGCCCATGATGGCGCGATGACTCCTGCAGCAGGATATCTGCGAAGCCACGGATATGGCATGTGTGCTCCGCTCGTCTGTCAGCGAGATTCTGCCCCGCTGCTGCCGCGTTGTAATGCGGCGGTCCGTCGTCGTCGAGGACCAGGGCGGCGTCCTTGTCGATGACGTTCTGTGCGCGACGAACAGCAGGAGATATTGTTTCGCGCAGGATCGTCGCATATCGCTTTGGCAGGTTCCCCGTTGGAGCTCGCACGACGCGCGCTTCACCCAACTCGAGCAACGCTCGCTGCGATCGTGATGTACCACGGCGCGCTGCGAGCGGCGCTTTCGCCCGCTGGCGCGGGCGCATCGCCGTCCAGCCCTTGCGCATCCACCTGCGTGGGGGCATCGAATTCTGTCGCAAATCCCCCGCGCCTCCCATGCCGCTGCCCTTGCCGCCGCCTGTGCCTCCTCCGTTGAAGATTGCGTTGTCGCTCCTCGCGGCGAATGCTTTCCGAGCGCCGGCCTGCTCTTCTCCCATGGCTCGTCGATGGCGGACATTTCGGCCCCGTCACCCCGCCGAACCTCGCCGGTAAAAGTTCGGAGCATCCCTTCTAGAAATCAATAGGTCATTTTTCAGAGCAGCATGCGCAATTTCTGCCATGGGACCTTCGTGCGCCTCGCAGAACGTCATCTTCCCGTTCCAAGAATGCATGGCCCCGCCGTGGGCGACGATGTAGTCGCTGCCAAGGAATAGTGATGTGCATCATCATGACGTACTCTCGAACGTAGATATCGGATAACCGACGCCGATGCATGGGTATCGCGCCAGGGGCAGTCCTCATCAGTTACTGGTCCCATGAGACGTGCTACTTCTGCGTGGGTGCCTTTGCCGCCTCCGTCTGCGCGAGTGTCCTCTCAACGAGCGGATCAGGGTCTGCCGTTAAATTTTCCAACCACCTCCGCTCACCGTCGACATCTATCATGAAGTCGTCGAATTCCGCATTGCACGTAGCTGCGCCTGGAAGTTTCAATGAGGAGCTGTTGTCGCCAGCCGGATCGGCGGGCGCATCCTCGGGCTCGCTCTCGTGCGCGGTGACCCTTGGAACTCGTGGGATCCAATCCTGCGGGCGCGACAAATGATCGACCTCGTGCCCGTCGTCAGGTGGTTGCTCATGAAGCCGCAAAAAGCGCTGCCGACGGGCCGTTGCCGTAGGCGCTCTGAACGCAGTTCTTCGTGTCCTTGTAGTGCTCGACGACGATCTGGCCGCCCGGGGCCGCGCAGAAATACTTCATCTCGTCGAAGCCTGGGTGATCTCCCCGCCCAGTCCCCAGTTGCCTGCTAGCAGTTGCTTCGTCTCCTGCGTCGCGCGCCGTCTGCGCGATGCGATCTCGGAGCTTCTTGGCGCGCGACTCGTCCGGGGGGGCCCCGCCCCGTATCGTCTGCGTGGTCGGGCGCCCGTCTGCCGCGAGACCGCGAATGCGTGTCCGCGGCAGCGCTGCAACAGTGGCGCTAACGCAGCTCGTTGGCAGGGGCCGCCCCGACGGTGCCGACTGGAACATGCGGCAGGCCGGCGGGCGCGTTCGCGCGGGTGGTGATGACGCGCGCGCGCGTGTCGTCGCTGGGCTCGCCGGGCGGCCCGTCGCGCCTGAGTGGGGAAGGACAGATCAGCCGAGTATTGGCTCAGAGCCTGGGTGGCAGCGGCGCGCTGGTCGTCGGCGGCCATTGTTGCGGAAGTTAAGGGCCAGCGCAGCAAGGCTGATCCTTGCGCAGGGGTGGGGAACATAACGGGCCGGCAATGCTGCGCCGCGCGGGAAACTGGTCGAGCCAGCGGCCAAGGATTATTAGAATCGCGAGGGTGGCCCCATGCCTGCCCAAGAGGGCCCCAGAGATACCCGGCGCATCTGTATTGGTGCCCCAACCAGTCACGGAGAGTTCAAAACGGCCCGGGCTGGGGGCGGCAGGGAGTTGCCGTGGGTTTGATCGATGGCGCGAGCGAGCCTGCTGGACAGTTATCGCGTGTGATCCGTGTAGGTAGCCGCCCTGGTGGGGGGAGAGGGCGCGCAGTGGCCGCAATCTCTCAACATCTCGTGGCCTTCGGCCAACCCCGCCGCCGTGCCTGTGTGGTGGGAGTGAGGCCTCTTGGGAGGTTCGTTAAGCTCTCGCAGACTTTTATGTTTGTGCGTTGTGTTGTGTTGTGTTGTGTTGTGTTGTGTTGTGTTGTGTTGTGTGTGTTGTTGTGTTGTGTTGTGTTGTGTTGTGTTGTGTTGTGATGTGGTGGTGGTGGTGGTGTGTGTGTTGTGTGTGTGACGCTGTGTGTGTGTGTGTGTGTGTTTTGGCCTGCTTGGATTTTCCCCGCATCCAAAGTGGGGTTCCTGTTTTCTCTGGACACTCGCGCAGGGACAGGATGGAAGATGCGCCCTCTCTCTTCTCGCTCACGCGCTCACGCACTCCCATCATCATCATCATCAGCATCGCGGCATCAACATCACTTGCACTCGCGCGCGCACTCACTCGACCACTCTCATTCACTCGCAATCGCTCGCTCATCTTGAGTGGCTCACTCACTCACTCTCAACTTCTAGTCATCATCATCAACATCATCATCATCGTCATCACCAGTATTGCAGCACCACCGTCGCCATCGTCATTATCGCGCGCATTCGTTCACGCGCCCACGTGCTCAGCGACAGGAGGTCTCAGGCGGAAGACTTGTGAGTAAACGTCATCGCTATCGCCCATCACCATCGTCGCCGTGCTCATCCACCGGCCGCCGCCGTCGTCGCTCTCACCATCGTCGCCGTCGCCCACCACCGTCGTCGTCATCATCGGAGGCAGTTTCAGGAGGGGGCCTCGTTTTTGAATGAATTGCGAGGAAGTCTCCGGCGGGCCCACTCCCTATGTGGCCGCAGCTCATGTTTTTAATCCGAGCTGGTCATCGGACAACTTGTATGATGGGGGGCGTCCACGGCGTCTTGCCGTCCAGCGTCGGCGCGGAGGTGCGATTCACGGCGGCGCAGAAAGAGCTGGGGAAGAAGTTGGGGCTCGCGCAGGAGCAGCGGGCCACCGTCGTGTCCTTCGAGTTCCACTCCGAGGACGAGCAGCGGTGCGAGGAGTGCTCGCCAGGCCAGCTCTTTCGCCCCCGCTTCTTACCGCGGGGACTCTGGCTGCAGGTGCACGGCTTCAAGGGGTCTCCGATTTACGAGGAGGTCGCCGCGCTGCTGCGATAGAGCGCCGACGACAACGGTGAGGCCGAGGCGCGGGCGCGGGGCTGGCTGATGTTCAGGCCCAGCGATCAGAAGTTCACGTGGCAGAGCTCGGGGCCGCGCGCCGTGCGCCGCTCGGGGTTCACCGTGGCGCGCGCGCCCTACCTCGCCGCCGCGCTGTCGCAGGGCCAGACAGACGCCGCGCAGCGGCGTCGCCATCGACTGCGCTAGGGGCGAGGGTGCTGGTCGCGCGGGCGTGTCGGGCGACCAGTGGT